ATATATATATATATATATATATATATATATATATATATATATATATATATATATATTATGAAATGGACAAAGTCCGACAATTATTTTATGAATTTTTTATGTTTATACATTCTTAAAATAATTGTCGGACTTTGCCCATTACATAATGTGTGACGTCATTTATTTACATTTAGATACGCTATGAGCAGATATGAATGCACGTGAGAGATTCATGGAAGATTGTAATTTAAAGACAGTAAATTCGACCTTGCTAACCGAACGTTCCTCTGTGGCCCAATCGGTTAAAGGCACGTCAGGCTAACTGACGGTTCCGTATAGAATACAGGTTCGATTCCTGTCGGGTGACTAATGTTTTCGATGAAAATTTCTCGGAAATGTTGTTTAATGCTGTTTATTATAAACAAAGCGTTTACTTAAATATTTGTATCTATATAAAGAATGTATAAACATAAAAATGTCTTTATATATGCACATTTCATTGAATACGACAGACAATGTGCTTTTATTTAGTTGTTTATACAATTTCTCATGCGATCTAATATTTTATTTTATTTTCGGATGATGAATTATATAAAAACTTTCCGAATGTTCTTTTTATCCGAGCGCTTTCAGCTATACATTTAGCCATTTTTAAGGATTAAATATTTTAACTGTTAAATAAACATTTTAACGTAATAATTCGTCTCCTAAAACAAAATTAAATAGGGCAAATATTATTTATGAATTTCAATGCCCATTAAGGAATTGTATTCCTAATCAATCAAAATGCGTAAATAATTACATAGGCCGCACTACAACATGTTTGAGACGCATACTCACTCACCTTTCTGACAATAGCTCAATTAGATCTCAATTTAATATTCATTGAGACCTACCGGACACTATTCGTAACATACTTGTTGACAACACTAATATAATAACATCATCTACATGCAAAAAAGGCTGAAAGTAATGGAAGCCTTATTAATAAAAACAAAAAAAAAACAACGCTTAATAATATTAACTTTGAACATGGACACAATGTCTTCACCGTGTTTTGAAAAGTGAGGACATTTTATGAAACATACATACAACGAACTATTTCTTATTTAACAGTTAATATATATATATATATATATATATATATATATATATATATATATATATATATATAAAATTGGCCAACATGCTTATCCAGACGCATTACATTACACCTATCTGATCAATGCTCCATTAGAACCCATTTAAACACACACACAAACTTACCAGGCTCCATTAGAAACATGCTAGTAGAAAAACAAATATATTAAGTGTATCCACCTGTAAAAAAAGATTCAAAATAATGGAAGCTTTAATAATAAAAAAGAGAAAGCCAACTCTTAACAATATTAACTACGAACAAGCCACAATGTGCTAATCGTATTCGGAAATGAAAAAAAACATCTCTATAACGCACTAAAATATACACATAATGCACACACTCAATTAAGCTGAAAAATCGAATCATCCTTGATAATGGCTAAAGGTATAGCCGAAAGCGCTCGGAACTATAAAACATTTGGACAGTTCTTACACACCCTTTGTCCAGAAAAGAAAGCTCTTGTTCGAATACAAGAAAATTAAATAAAAAGCTTAACCGTAGTACCTTGTGTATCGTTTTTAATGAAACATATATATATATATATATATATATATATATATATATATATATATATAGATATATAGTGAACATTGAAGTCAATATTCAGAGGCGACAGGCTGTTTCATGCTAGACACAATCGTCTGGCAGCCTATTGCCACTGAGTTTTGACTTCAATGTTCACATTTATATTTACATACGTTCTATCTCTGATATTGAACACATCCCATAAATATAGCACACCTTAATAATATATTTCTTCACATATATATATATATATATATATTGAAAATTATTACATATACATGTGATAACATCACTGCAAAAACAGCCATTTATTTCAACACTTCTGGTGTCTTATCAAGTGATGGTGTTGATGGCAACATAAAGAGTTTTACTTTTAAATCTTTTTATTTTGCAATCAACACCATCACTTGATAAGACACCAGAAGCGTTGAAACAAATGGCTATTTTTTTGTAGTGATGTCATAACATGAATATGTTATAATTTTCAACATTTATATATATATATATATATATATATATATATATATATATGCAATAAAAAAGATAAAGCACTACATCCTACTGCACTACCAAACCACCTGACGAGACCTCACATTCGGAACCAAGGTATTGCATTAGAATATATTTTTTATGTCTTTTACTGTATTAACTTGCTCTGCATGTTTGATTTTTTTTATTTTCTGAGCACTGTAGTAAGAACTTTTTTTATATGTCCGTTTTTGGCATTTTATATATATATATATATATATATATATATATATATAGTGGGCTCTCCCGTCGTATTCGACGTATGAGGTTCAAGCAGCTCAGCTTTTCAGGAACCGACAGCTCAGACACCAGCACATATTTGTTATAGTGGTGAAGGCCTTTTCCAACGACACTTTTTGAAAGTCGGAATACAGAGACCTGGTGCACTACGTGCCACAAGGTCTCCCAAACAACCTTCCGCAGGTTGTCATTCTCCTAGACCAGTTGCCATCCAAGGCTATAGAACCCAGTTTGTTCTGCAAAGTACCTAATAGCTAAGGGGAGAAGAAGAGGATTCATATCTTTCCGAAGGGTATTAGCACGTAAGTGAATGTAAAAGATTCGACTGGAATTCGAACTCGGTTCTCCATTACCTATTACTCCACAGTGCCTCCTAATATATATATATATATATATATATAAAAGAAATATGTTGTAGTGTTTCCAACGAGAGAAAAGTATGTATATTAAAAAGAAGAGAAGAGAGGTGCCGCAAACGTTTTTGGTTGTAATGTGGATTTATTTAGAAAAAAATATTATGCTTTGTTTTACATAATTTTACTACACGTGTTTCTGGTCTCGCGACCGTCTTCAGGTAAAAGTGGAGATTTCTACATATTAACAAAAAAATTAATTTTTCTTCATGTTCAATGTGAAATATTCTCGATATGAGACATTCTCTGTTTGTGTTGGTTCTCATATCGAGAATATTTACATTGAAATGGAAGAAAATAATTTTTATTTAGAAATCCACATTCTGAAAACAGAAAACGGTCAAAATTTGTAAAACGAATAATATTTTTCTAAATTCCAAAAATTCGTAAAACTTTTTTTTTAATATATATATATATATATATATATATATACGTTTGTGTGTGTGTGTGTGTGTGTGTGTGTGTGTGTGTGTGTGTGTGTGTGTGTTTGATGTTTACAAAATGAAGGGGAAAAAGTTTTGCTCATAATTTGATGCCACCTGATGACGGTTTAGACAAAATATTCTCAATATGAATATGACTCCGTGTCACCGGTTATTTTGATTTGGCCGTTTGTTGAATTTTAGATCTCTCTGCAAAACTGTCAGATTTCAGACGGCGCGATCAAAAAAAAAATAAGCTCTTCCTATGCCGAGGTGACGTACGAATGACATTTTCACCGGGAACCTCTGTGAATTTTCCGTCATTCTTTCTCTCACCAACTTCATTAAACTTCATTGAAATCCATGAGACTAAAAGATTACAGAAACCTTATTTTACTGTCTAATTCCATTAATGATTCTTTTGAAATCCCCCCCACCAACAAAAAAGATTTTCAATAGTTCAAGACGTAAGCAATCATCGATCGACACAAATTTTGTTATTTTCCATGTCATCCGAGTTGTTTCCGCTGATTCAACACAGTTTTCGATTTAGAATTTACGTTTTCCTTGACTGGATGTCCGAAAAGAATAAAAAAACGCATTCTATCCTTTTATTTATTTACAGCTGGTGGGAAAAGGCACGACCTCATGTTGTCCCCAACGGCATTTGTGGAAAAAAGAGAATGCAAAAGACGAGGAGAGCATTTCGCAATGAGAAACTTCAATGTTTATCGGAAGTTTTGAGATAAAGAATTTTCATTATTCCATAAATTATTCCCTTTTTGTTTACATCTTTCTTGTCGTTAACCACCTTTTATGAAACTTAAAGTCTTTCATTATTCCTTTTTCGAATTTTTGTACTGTAACATAACATTCCATTGTTTTCTGAAGTTTTGATATGAAGTCTTTTCATTATTCCATAAACTATTCCGACGATTGTCTTTATCTTTCTTATTATTATTAACCCAATCTTTCACTGTTTTCTGAAGTTCTGAGTAACCATATATTATTCCGGCTTTTATTCCATTGTCATTTTCTGAAGTTTTGAGGATGAAGTCTTTTTCATTTTCCATTATTCGGCTTTTATTTAAACTATTTCAACGTTTCACGATTGTCTTTCATTATTTATATTATTCTTTTATTTCCACAATTCTTGTCATTAACTCAACGTTTCACTGTTTTCTGAAGTTCTGAGATGAAGTCTTTTCATTATTCCATATATTATTCCGACCATTTTCTTCATCTTTCTTGCCATTAACATAACCTTTCAGCGTTTGTTAAGTTCTGAGATAAAGAATTTTCATTATTCCTTATATTATTCCTACTATTGCCTTAATTTTTCTTCTCATTAAAACAGCCTTTCGAAAGAGCTTGGTACATTAGAAGGTTGACCTAGAAGGTGAACGTGAATCAGTTAACGGCACAGAGTTTGAGCACACACTGCTCTTTTTTCAAACTAGTGATCCCGCCAGATTATGCGCTCTCTCCCAGAACCAAGGTCTGCTCAATATAGTTCCATTATCAACCACAAGTTGTCTAGTTGGGTTTTGAAGAAACGCAGATGTGACTGAGCAGACATCATCAAAATGGATTAGCTAGCTACCGTAGCAGTAGGGTATAGTGGGAAACGAGAGTTCATAAACACATATGTACCTATTGGAAAAATTACCAAGTTGCCACCACTTCCGATTCCACGAACGTATACCATTGGTGAATTAATTTCATCGTGAGTTCAACCGATCTATAGGAAGTATGTTACAATTCTCTCCGGTCTGCCCTACTAAAGTAAACAACTTTTTTTTTTGTACCGAAGAAAATATGAAACAAGCAAAAACATTCTTAAAGAAACGAATTTATGGAGTTACCAAAACTTTTAAAAATTAAAGACAATTTGCAAAAAAAATACTATTAAAAAAAAGATCTTTTTGAGAGTTGAAAACAGCAAAACAAGTAATTACATTTTTATTTTATTTTATTTTTTTAAGAAACAGGTTTGTGAAATAACAAAGAAGGAAAATATATCCAATTACTTGTGGAGACGAGGAGAGCATTTCACAATGGGAAACTTCAATGTTTATCGGAAGTTTTGGGATAAAGAATTTTCATTATTCCATAAATTATTCCGTCTTTTGTCTTCATCTTTCGCGTCATTAACCAAAACTTGCAATGTTTTATGAAGTACTGAGATAAAGTTTTTTTTTTCATTATTCCATATATTATTCCGACCATTGTCTTCATATTTCTTGTCATTAACATAACCTTTCATTGTTTTTTTTTTTTTGAAGTTCTGAGATAAAGAATTTTCATTATTTTATATAAGAAAAAAATATATATATATATATATATATATATATATATATATATATATATATATATATATATATATATATTGTTATATAAGCAACTCCTTGCGCTGAAAAAATATGAAAAGAAGCAAAAACATTCTTAAAAAACAAGTTTATAGAATTACCAAAACTTTTAAAATTTTGCAAAAAAAAAAAAAAAAAAAAAAAAACGATTAAAAAAGACCTTTTTGAAAATTGAAAATACCAAAATAAATAATTACATTTTTTAATTATTTTTTTTTTAAAGAAACAGGTTTAGGAAATAACAAAGAGTGAAATATATCCAATTACTTTTTTGTACGAAGTAAAAATTTCTGATTGGAATGCCAGTGGGTATTTTTCATCATATAAAATAAACATTTCATATAACCACTCCGTCTGGAATGTTTTCTATAAGTTTAGTTCTTTTGATAGGTAATACAAAATGTGGGACAGCAACCCTACATCCGGGTGTTTTTTTTTTTTTATCAAGACACCATCTCTGGAAAGATGCCACCCAAGGCTAAAGAGTTCTTTCAAACCATGAAGTGAATTATCCCACGCCAGACAACATCTGTGAAATTTGAATTTCCGCAGAATCCGGATTTGTCCTAAGGCTTTACTTCCGGGACGTTTCCCATGATTAGGTATTGCTGTAAGACAGTGGAGGTTTAAAATGTAAATGGTAGTGTCGTCTACGTGGATGCCTACTTGAGAACAGATGAAATCAGGAATATCATTATACGATAAGTACGCACACCACCGATTTTCCGATGATCAAATACCTTTTTTTTTTAATTTTTTTTAAGCATTACGCCCCGGGCAAGGCGTGAAGTCACTAGGATACAGGGGGTTGCAGAAGATTTGGGCAAGAGCGATGGGAGTGATAGAAGAAAAGGATGAGGAGAAGGATAGTGGATAGATCAAGGTAACTGGTGATGTCGATTGACATTACATTTGAATAGTTGGAGATTATAGCTCTCTGTGAAACAGTAATAGGGAAGGGTGTTCCACAGGCGAGAGGTGCGAGGTATGAAGCTATTGGAGTAGAAGAGACGGCTATATTTAAAAGTTTCTACAGTGTAAGGGTGGGAGCGAGGTGCCAGCCTCGTAGGGCGCTTGAATTCATGGAGTCTGGGAACCAGTGAAAGCAGCTCATCGGAGTATTTACCATGAAAGTATTTCAGATCAGGGCCAATTAGATTACATATCCGTCTCTGGGTCTTGTTAAGAACTCCGAGATAAACAGAAGGTACACCAGACCATATATGGCAGCAATACTCCATGCAAGGGCGAATGGTTGATTTGTATATTTGAAGTATCGATTCCGGGGAGAAAAATTTCCTGGCGCGGCACAGCGAGCCAACTTTCCTCGCGGTGGACGAAGCAATGGACTCAATGTATTTGTTCCATCTCAGGTCAGCAGTCAGCGTGAGACCGAGCAGACGCAGAGAGTTGTTCTCTAGAAGTTGACTATCAGACATAGTAATGGGGGGGGGTAGGGAAAAATTGACAGAGGAGATGCGAATGCAAAAATTTTTAAATTAATTCACTACAGGCAAATCTATACTGCCTCTAAGAAGCAAGAGACTACCGTGTGTCAAAGAGGACGAAAATAACTTTTTGAAGGAACCGGAAACACAATCCTAAACAGGAAACAAGGGATACAACTCTGCTCCTGTGGACCGAGAAGGTGTGCAAACCGGGCAGTAGGCGAACCTATCTACTTTTAAGTAAAAAATAGAGTTGAGGCGGAGACGTTAGAGATACAAAGTTGTAGCAGATATGAGAAGGAACCGGAAACACAATCCTAAACAGGAAACAAGAGATTAACCTCTGACCCTATTCAAAGTATGGCGGATGAGTGTGAACCGGACGACAGGCGAACATATCTACTCCTATTGAACTATAAAAATAAATAAATAGTAAATGCAATTTCAGAGTTTAGGCAAAGACATTAGAAATATAGAGATGAATTAGACTTTAGAAAGATCTTGGATAAACCTATACTCCTGTTCAAAAGATAGGGGAGGAGACGTTAGAAGTATAGAGTTGAAGTAGACTTTAGAAGGAAGCGGAAACCCAATCCTAAACAGGGAACAAGGGATAAACCTCTACTCCTGTTCAAAAGACCGGGGAGGAGACGTTAGAAGTATAGAGTTGAAGTAGACTTTAGAAGGACACGGAAACCTAATCCTAAACAGGGGACAAGGGATAAACCTTTACTCCTGTTCAAAAGACCTTGGAGGAGGTGTTAAAAGTTGACGTAGATTTTAGAAGGAACCAGACACCCAATCCTAAACGTGGAACATGGGATAAACCTCTATTCTTGTTCGAAAGACAGGGGTGGAGACGTTAGAAATATAGAGTTGACGTAAATTTTCGAAGGATACGGAAACCTTATCCTGAACAGGGGAGAAGGGATAAACCTTCTACTCCTGTTCAAATCAGAGGAGCTTTATTGATTTGTATATTACGTTATTTCTTTTGACACAGTAGACGGTAATACTCCGCCACAGAAGCAAATGTGTCGGGAAAGTGTACTTATCGTTCTATATCTGTTTTGTGAGAAATGATTTCAATAATTTAATTAGTTTTGTGAGTGTTTATTTTATGTTTCGGGCGTTTCTCATCATATTTTAAATGCATATAATAGTCAAACGCACGGAATAACTGACTCTCGAAAGGCTGAGTACACTTAACATGGCACAGCGGAGAAAAAAGAACTCATTACCGCGACTTCATAAAAACCTGGTCCGCTTCTGACGAACCGCAACTGATAGTTTCTTGCGAAGTACGTGTAGAGACATCAGGTGGTATGCACTGGTCTGTTCTTTGGTACAGTGACCTCATACACACACACACACACACACACACACACACACACAACACATACACATATACATATATATATATTATATTTTTATTATGGGACATTATAATGAAAGCATTTGGAAATCGCTGCTCAAAAGTTTTCATGTTTCAATACTAAGATTGTACTTCTTCAGGCGATGGTAAGTAACTGATGATTACTAATTACCAGTTACTTACCGTCGCTTAAAGAAGTACAGTCATAGTGTTGAAACATGCAAGCTTTTGTGTAGCTATTTCAAAATATTTTTTTTATAATCTCTTATAATAAAAATATAATATCATATTGCTCTACTATGTATTGAGCACTTTTTAAAAGTAAATGCTACGAACTATGGATTTTTACTACATCTGTTGTTTCTTTCATTTTTATATATATATATATATATATATATATATATATATATATATATATATATATATATATTGGTCTCAGGACCAATGACCAAGGGAATTCAGAGCAGCATAGATCCATCCAGCTCTTATCTCAAATAACAACTTGACTAACTGTAACTGTTTGACTAACACAAGGAATGTTAAAAGATTCATGTTAAAAAGATAAAAAAATAAAAAAACAAATGAAAACTACAAAAGTTCATTTTCTCCATCAAGACATGCATTTCTGTAGTTTACTGCTACCAGCAAGCAGAAATATTTCTTCTCCCGGTGATGGCCATTTTGGCCGAAACTAGTCGAGGAATCTAAATGAAATAATGATAAAAAACAACAACAAAAAAAAAAAAAATAACGAAAGAATATTAATCTACAACCCAGTGTGTCTGAAGATAATATTTTTTATTGTTGAATATATATATATATATATATATATATATATATATATATATATATATATATATATATATGTATATTACGTTACTTTGCAAAATGTAAAATTAAAATACTAAATGTTATAAAATGAACTTTGAATATAACTACTAATAATAATAATAGAAAAAAAAGAATCGGCGATAATGAGCAACTAGTCAAAGATAAACAAAATAAATATTACAAAAAAAAGGCATTCTACTAATTCCGAAAATTACGTCCACTTTCGTAAAAACAACAACAGATAAATAAAAGTTACGCTTAGATATAGATAAATTCAACTTATTTATGTCACTATAATAACTAGTCAAACAAATAAAATACATTAAATATTCTTATAACTCTGAGCGAGAAATTTCACTAGCGAAACCACGTTTTAAAATAAAAAAAAAGTATTTTGTACTACGACTAAAGATAGGTAAACATGTACAATAAAATTATTAAGTACATATATTAAATACTGTTGTAAATGAATAACATAACTAAAATTAATAATAATAACCAAATAATAAACAAGAAAAATATAATGCATGATTAAAAAAACAAACGAGACTTTCCTTAACATCGCTTTCTTAGAGCCATGAAAAAAACACTTCCGTTTACTCCGACATCAGCGTTCATATATATATATATATATATATATATATATGAATAGTGTGTGTATATAAATATAAATAAATATATATATATTATTATTTATATATTATATGCGCGGTACTTATTAGGAAGCGCTCAATATCAGAGATAGAGCTAACATATTTGGTT